GAGTAAAAACCTCACTTTGAGGTTTTTACTCACGAAAGCTTATGCCCAAATAAATCTGTTAGTCTTTAAGGTGCCACCAGACTCCTTGTTGTTTTTACACTTGTGAAATACTGTACATCATTATCCCCATCTTATCAATGGGAAAAGTAGGCCACAGAGAGATTAAATGTCTTCCCAAAGACTACACAAAGTCCTGTGGCAGAGTCAGGAATAGAATCCTGGAGTCCAGGACTGTAGTCCACTTTCATCCACGCTCAGATCTTTGATAATCCATTTTATTCTAGTATGCAAAATCCTCCTATCTGTTTTTAATGGTCTGAAAAAGATCCTCATTGTCTTTAGACACCCCAGCCAACATTTTTGAAGAGTGGATGTAGTTCTGAAAACTCATTCAAACTATGCAAGTGCAAACTCTGATGTGCCCAAAAACTCCAATTTGAACATGCATATATTGAGGGTTTGTATACATGCACTGGAGTTTGCACTAAAATGTACATACATTGAATATCTGGCCAACAACTTTCCTTTTAATGGGCTTACTGGGTTTTTTTCTTGAACTTTCTCTGTGTTTAGGTATGTAATGAAAGTCTAGGCCATATACAGCCATATTCAGTTAGCAGCCAATTCTCTTTAATAACAGCTTATCTAAATATATGCATCTTCAGTTCATTCCATTTTGATTTCTTTCTATGGGTTAATAAAAACTATAATTTCAATAACACCCTGTTTTCATTTCTCATACACTAGGCTCAAGAGGATGCTTTTATAGTTGAACAGCTACAGCTGATTTGTACCTCAATAGATCCCATAATCCTAGGAGGCTAAACTGAATATTTTTTCATGTTGGAAACTCAGTTGCACAAGTACAACTGCAATCACAGTGTGTCTTAGTCCACATCATAAAACCACTTAGTAACTTGGCACAATTGGTAGCCTCTATTCAGTAGAACTGGACTAGCAGGATGTTGCACATTAGGCTTGAGGTATATTGGTAGAGCTGTTGGGGGGGGGGGAGGAATCCTAAACGGGCTACCTAAAACAGATCCTGCCTGCACGCTTCCCATCCACATTTACAAGCACCAAATTTGTCAAAAATGTTAAACAAAAGAAACCAAATAAATGGGTAACGTACAAGCAGTACAGTACTTTAAATAGGAAATTATGAACAATAAACTGCACTTTGAGGATCCCTCTGAGGATCTTAAACTGCATTGCAAACTCTAATGATTTAAAACCAATATCCCTTTTTAACTGAGGCACAGAGAGGCTAAGGCCCAGATCCTCAACGGTATTTTGGTGCCTAACTCCCATTGATATCAATAGGAGTTAGGTACCTAAATATCTCTGAGGATCTGGGCTCTAAAGTCATTCACCCAGTGCTCCACTGGGTAGAGAAAGATTTCACCTCTCTCTCCATTTGTTGCTGGCAGTTTGAAGGGGCTGCATTAAAGCTACCAAGAAAACAAACCAAATATTGAAAACAAAATGTATAGGCCCAAATTCAAGAGTGAGATAAACTGTGCTGTAAATTACCTGTTGGATATAAGTTGGTGGGAAAATAGATGTACAGCAAATGGTCCAATTTGGCATTCAGAGGCTTTGCAAAATGAGTGTAACTTGTGCCTAAGGAGACAGAAACGAAGTGTGTGGCAGGAAAAGCAACTGACAGAAAAATGTAAGATGTACGTTTTACAATTCCTCCCCCCCCCTTAACTAATTTATCACCTTATCTCTGACTAGATTTGATCACCTGATAGCAATAGAACGTGCAGGGATGGCTGCTGATGGCAATTATTACAATGCAAGGAAAGTCAATATTAAGCATCTAGTGGATCCCATAGATGAACTGTTTCTAGCTGCACATAACATCCCTGGAGTCACAACAACAGGTAAGTGTGAGGCTGTGGCATCTCCTCAATGATAAGAGAAAGGCAAAACATAGAAAAGGAAGGGAGGATAAAGCAGCAGCCAGCTTCCAAAAAACTACTTCAGGACTGCCACTGTTTGTCTCTGCCAAATTGAAAGGACCAGCTAGCAGAAAAACATCCTTAGAAAGGTTTATATAATCAGAGAAATGTAGGGCTGGAAGGAACCTTGAGAGGTCATCCAGTCCAGCCCCTTGCACTGGGGCAAGATCAATATACCTAGATCATCCCTGACAGCTGTTTGTCTAACTTGTTCTTAAAAACCTCCAATAAGGGGTATTCCACACACTTCCTTGGAAGCCTATTGTATTGCTTAGCTATCCTTATAGTTAGAAAGTTTCTCCCATCTCACCTAAATCTCTCTTATGGCAGTTTATGCCAATTACTTCTTGTCCTACCTTAAGAGGACATGGAGAACAGTTGATCACAGTCCTCTGTGTAATAGGCCTTAAGATATTTGACAAGTGTTATCAGCCCCTCCCCCCACTCGTCTTTTCTCAAGATTAAACATGCCCAGTTATTTTAACCTTTCCTCATTAGTCAGGTTTTCTAAACCTTTTATCGTTTTTGTTGCTCTCCTCTGGGCTCTCTCCAGTTTGTCTACATCTTTCTTAAAGTGTGATGCCCAAGACTGGACACAGTACTCCAGCTGAGGACTCACCAGTGCTGAGTAGAGCAGGACAATTCCTCCTGTGTCTCGCATACAGTACTCCTGGTAATACACCCTAGAACGATACTATCCTTTTTCACAATTGCATCATATTGTTGGCTCATCTTCAGTTTATGTATACACTATAGCCCTCTTTTCTTAATTAGAACTACTGCCTAACAGTTACTCCCCATCTTTAGTTATTAATTTGATTTCTTTCTTCCTAAGTAGTACTTTGACTTGTCTTTATTGAATTTCAGCTTGCTGATCTCAAATAAATTCTCCAATTTGTCAAGGTTGTTTTCAGTTCTAATCCTGTCCTCTCAAGTGCTGGTATCCTCTCCCTGCCTGGTGTCATCCACAAATATTATAAGCATACTCTGTACTCACGTGTCTGAGCCACGTGACTGACCCCTGTGGGATCACACTAGATATGACCTCCCATTTTGACAGCGAACCATTGGTAACTATTCGCTGAGTATGGTCTTTCAACCAGTTTTGCACCCACTTTATAGTAATTTCATTTAGAGACCACATTTCCCTAGTTTGCTTATGAGAATGTGGGACTCTGTCTAAATGCTTACTAAAATCATGATATATCATGTCTACAGTCTCCTCCCTATCCACTAAGCCAGTAACCCTGTCAGAGAAGGAAATCATGTTGATCTGACATGATTTCTTCTTGACAAATCCTTGTTGCCTATTCCTTGTAATCTTATTATCCTCAAAATGGTCACAAATTGATGTTTAATATTTGTTCCAATATCTTTCCAGATATCTTAGTTAGGCTGACTGGTCTATAAACCAGTGCTCCACTGTAAGTGTTCTGGTGCCCCTGCGCTGGTAATTAGAGATTTGTAGTAGCCGTGCTCGGTTGGGATGTGCATGCGTTGTCCCTGTCTCGTGTTACATGAGGTGGTTACATAGCATTGCGTGGCCAACTCCCCTCCCTCCCCCCCTCAGTTCCTTCTCTACCGCCTTTGGCTTCAGTCAGAGCGCTTAGCAGCACCTCTTTATTGAGCTTAGTTCAAATAGTTAACTGTTTATAGATAGTGTTTATTTAGATATAGCCTTCTTTCCTCTGTTTTATTATGATTTAAAAAAAAATTTCTTTCAGGATAAATTTCAGTTGTTAGTGACCCCTTAGATTAGAGCTGTTCTCCCCTGAATGAGAAAACCCCTCTCCGAGGGGCATGTCCAGCTCCCCGGGTTTCAAATGCTGCCTGACGTACAGGCTTTCGATTCCTATCTCAGATGGGCATTCGCAGTGTGTTCACTGCCTGGGCGAAGCACGTATACCACAGAAGTGCGCACACTGTGATAAAATGAGAGCCCACATCAGGAAAGCCAGAGAATTACAACTAAAACTCCTTATGTTGGAGAAATCCCTGCACCCAGAGTCCGAACCTGAAGCATGGACTCCCCCTGGACAACTGTCTCCCACGATAGCCTCTGACAGAAGCTCTCCCATGGTTTCTCAGGCAAAGGAGCTCACTGCCAACTATTGCGACAGGAAGTGACCCATCTTAGACAACTACAAGCAGTACCAATTCAACACAGTGTAAGGTGTTTTTACTCAGACTACTTTCTAACTCAGAAAAAAATGGAAGGATGAGGCCCATTCTTGACTTGAGACAGTTCAACAAATCCATGAAGACCCAACATTTCCAAATGATCACAATAGCAACCACAAGTCCAGCACTGGAAAGAGGGGATTGGTTCTCAGCCCTCAATCTCCAGGACACACATTTTCATATAATGATACAACCCTCACACAGGAAGTTTCTCAGGTTTACCCTCGGAACAGAACATTTCCAGCATAGGGTCCTGCCCTTTGGACTATCCACATCCCCATGGGTCTTCTCAAAAGTCCTTGCAGTGGTCGCGGCTCATCTCAGAAGATAAGGAATTATAATTTTTCCTTATGTCAGCGATTGCTTACTGACAGCACCAACCCAACAAGAGACAATAGAGGCTACACAAAACGCGGTAGGTCTCTTTACACATCTGGGACTACAAATAAACGTACAAAAATCAACACTGATACCTGTACAAAAACTGGTATTCATCGGAGCCTACCTCAATTCTCTGGAAGCTACAGCCTCCCTGCCTCAGCAACATTTCACAGCCTTATGAAATCTCATCTTCACAGCAGTGAACAGCCCCCAGATCTTGGCCAAGACTTGCCTACAATTACTGGGTCACATGTCAGCAACGACATTTGTCATCAAACACACAAGGCTACACATGCGCTGCCTGCAGGCCTGGCTCTGTACTGTCTACATCCCAAACAGATACAATATACACAAATGCCTCATCATGCCAAAAAAGGTTAAGGTCTCCTTACATTGGTGGACATGACCAACCAATGTTTGCTCAGGGGTTCCCTTCATCCAACACCCTCCAATGATGATAATAACCACGGACGCCTCCCTATTAGGTTGGGGAGAACACTTGAACACCCACACTGTCCAAGGCCACTGGTCCTCAGCAGAATCTTTCCTTCACATAAATCTATTGGCGCTATGGGCAGTTCGCAATGGCTGTTCCCATTTTCTCCCAATGATCAAAGACAAAACTGTGACGAGCCCCCCTCGGGGTGCAACATAGAACTGGGGTACCACTGAGCCCTCTGACTCCCCAGCCTGGGTTCGTTCTCACATTGTGCTGCTGTGACAAGGTGCAGACTGCTCCCGGTCCTACACTCCCACCAGCCTTCACACAGGCAGGGACACACCCAGCTGCAGTTACATATAGGCTCTGGCCAGCCACTGCATGAGCCAACAATAGAGAGGCTACAGCCAAAATACCCCTAGTTCCCCGCCCTAGGACTCCAGATCTCTACTGTCCTGCCCTGGTCAAAATCCAACCAGTATGAATTTATTACCCAGTATGCCCCTCCCTTGATGTGGAGAGGAATATGTACAACACCTTTGTTAACTGAGTTGAGATTTTCCCAAACACTTCACTCAAAAACAAACTGGTTAAGATAAAACATAAAATAAGTTTATTAACTACAGAAAGATAGATTTTAAGTGATTGTAAGTGATAGCAAACAAATCAAAGCAGATTACCTAGCAAATAAACAAGAATGCAATCTAAGCCTAACATACTACACAGGATTTTAATCAAATAGTGTCTCATCCTGTTAGATAGTACAAGCAGTCCATCAAGCTTCCATACACAGGCTAGAAATCCCTTTAGCCTGGGACCAGCACTTCCCCCGGTTCAGTCTTTTTCCTCAGGTGTTCTCTTGTGTGGGGAGTGAGGCCCTGAAATGATGTCACTCCCCATCTTTTATAGTACCTCCGTAAGGTGGGAACCCCTTTGTTCTAAGCCTAGTTCCCAGCTCCCTTTGTGGAAAAATACAGGTATCAAAATGGAGTTCAGTATCATGTGGTCTGGTCACATGCCCTTGCATGCCTCACTGAGTCATAGCAGCTATCCATAGGCTGTCTGAAGGGTTCCCAGGTGAGGACAAGCCTTTTCCATGGTCCATTGTCTTTGTTGATGAGCCGTTTGCACTTTTCAGTTTCTTCAATGTTGTATGTGAAAGGCTAGTTGTGGGTGTTTCCAACTTCACAACATCTTTCAAGTAACACATACATAGCAAAACTTCATAACTTCACATACAATGATAACAGATTGATACTTTTAGAATGATACCTCACAAGGCATACTTTGTACAAAATATATCATAATTATATTTCTTCAAGTGATGTCCCTATGGGTGCTCCACTTAAGGTGTTGAGCACCCCTGCGCTTGTAATCAGAGATTTGTGGTAGTAGTGCCTGGCTGGAATGCACATGCGCAGTCCCCATCTCGTGCCGCCTCAGGTGGTTAACTGGCACTGTGTGACCCAACCCCCCCCCCCCCCAGTTCCTTCTCTGCTGTCCTTGGCTACAAGTTGGAGCATTCAGCAGCGCCTCAAAGAGCTTAGTTAGCATAGTATACCCTAGTTAGTTCTAGTTTTGTTAGAGATAGTTAACTCCTTTCATTTTCTAGTCCTTGATTATTTAAAAAAAAACCCCACCTTATTTGTTTCCTGACTAGAAATAGGTTTTCGTTGAACCGTTACTCACAGCTCCCCCCTTGGGGGAGGACGAAACTCTCCCCTCAGGGGCATGCCCGGTTCTCTGGGCTTTAAACACTTCCTCACCTGTAGGCTATCAATCCCAGTGTTGGACGGGCATGCTCACACATGCCTCAAAAGTACCCTCATTGTCACAAATTGACAGCTCGGACCAGAAAAGCCAGAGACTTGCAGCTTAAACTGCTGCTCATGGAGAAGTCTCTCCGGCTGGCATCTGAACC